CCCATTTTTCTCAAAATCCTGACGTAATGGGCAATTTTGGAATTCGGGATCGTGTTCAGCGTCCAAAAATAGATCGGAAACCATTCTGATATCTCATAAAAAAAGTAAGTCTTTTTTTGTTGACCTGTGTAATCTAATTCTTTTTACTTACACTACAATTCAACACTTTTTATTTTGGAAATTTCATATTTTGGAAATTATGTATTGTAGAAAAATAATTTTTAGATCGTGTGTGAATTAAAAAATTAAATTTTGAAGTTCTGAATGTTCTTCGCATGCTTTAGAGTGATAGAAAACTACTGCGCATGCGTATATGAATGTACAATGAGTATATGTATACGATACTATGAATAATTGATAAAAGTCAAACGACTGACCGATGAAGTACGGAAATACACGGACGACATTCTTAATTTCAATATATCTCAAAATCGTTTTTTTATATTTTTTTCTAACCTGTCCCAATCTAAAGCTTACCTTTTTTCCTATAAATCTTGTAAAAAATCAGAGTGGGACCACTCTTTAAAACTGAATCAGTGAAATTTGACTGAGAATCAGTGACTCTATTCTCACGATTTGAATCAGTGAAATTTCACTGAAAATCGTGTTCTTATTTTTCAAAATTTTGAATAAGCGCGCCATATGTGGCCATCTTTCCACCTTCGCCAATCAAGTGCGTAATAGCAATGAACATTTTTTGAGTTCGTCAAGTTCTATTTTACGTACTGGCTATTTGTTATTACAAGAGGCCATTAAAACAAAACAAACAAACAGACGAGTTCTATTCGATTGTTCGATATTTTCTGATTTCTGTTTTTTAAGAAAGAATTCTTAACCAATTATTTTCAAAAATTTTAATAAAATTCTATACAAATATTTAATTACTTTTATAAATAATAAAAATTGTCTAGAAATTAAATTATTTAAAAATCTGTTGATAAAAATTTAAAAATTATTAAAAATAATTGATTTAATAAATTTCAATTTACAATTGAATGAAGTAATTAAATGTTAGAGAAGTTCACTTAGCTAACAGGTAGTTAGAAATTTTAGTTAGTTAGCATTTTATAACAATAATTAAATCTCAAAATTTTTCAATTTTAAAACTTCAAAAAACTCCCATCAATAATATTCAATATAAATATTTAAATACTCATTTGTAAAAAAAAATTATTAAACTTTTTAATAAATGTTTTATGTAATAAATAAATCTTTTCAACAAATGAATACAAATTTTAGAAAGTAATTCCATTTAAAAAAATAGAAATGTAATTTTTCAAGAAATTTTTTTTTTAAATTTGAAAATATAATTTGAAAATACTAGAATTTAAAAACACGTTGTATTGAAACTGTGATTAAGGTAAGCAAAAAGTTAAAAATCTATATTGTATTTTCGGAAGTAACACATTTTATGAGATATAAACTTATAAAATTAAGTATGTCCAACTTTAAAATCATTGTAATATAGAATTTATTTTGCAAAATTTACAGGCAATTATTTAATAAAAACTAACAATATATAAAGAATGTACGAAAATATTTTTAAATGCATGTTGTTCATTCGGTTAGATAAGTTCAGGACTAATAATCCAGATAACAATTTATTGTTAATTAATTAACAGTTGTTTGTAACAATATAATAGCTTAAAATTTAGTATGTTTCAATTTCAAAGAAGTATTTTTATTGTTATAAAATTTGTTTCCAAATGCGTCGCATAAATTTTAATGTAATAATTTCCTTAAAAAATATATCACGTTTATTATGAAAATAACAACGAATTTTGTTTTTTTCTAACCGCAATTCAATACTAAAAAACAATCTTAACAAAAACTCAAGATTTGAGCAATACGGCATTTTCATTATCCACTAATACTCGAAATCATTTTCTGCACTGTAAGAAATTTATTATCACAGAGTAATAAAATTCTGGTACACTGGAAACTCCGAATATGATAGTAGCAAAGTCTAATATAATCTTTGCAAAACGACCTTGACACTATTTAGAGGTAATTTTAATAAATATCTATGGGTATATGGCGTTTAGAAGGATGTGGCTTTAATATTTATATTGTAGAAAGTAAATCAAAATGATGATCATATTCCTTATAAATATTGCTTGTCCCACAGGCCCAAAATTGGAACTTTTAGACAGCAAACGACCGAAAGTTATTTATTTGTTCGACAGTATAAAAATTGCGGAAACTTTTTTCCATAAATATGACGCATGGGTCGATGTGTTTTTTTTTGACAAAAGTGAAAAATGAACCCTATTTTCATACATGTTAAACAAATGTTTGAATTTTATTCCCCATCGTCTGCTATCTGAAATCACCACTTTTGTGCGATCGGAATTTGTGGCTTGAGTGAATCTCCACTCGTGCCACAAAATTTACCGTAAACAAATGGCTGCCTTTATCCCCTTATTGCTTAATATATATTTAAGTGTAAGTACAATAATGCCAACCTAATAAATATATATCTTTCAGGTGTACATAAGTACTTGTCTTACAAGTAGTGATCTTTGAAACAATGCATTCAATTGCTTTTAGAGTAAATTAATTTTCCATTTCGATTATCACTTTTTGCAATATATTATAATTGAAATTAAATAATTAATGTATAATAATTTAATAAATTGACTGAAGAATAATAAAAATAACTAAAGTAAAATAAATTATTTTATCATAAAGATGAAGTACTATTTTTATAGAAAAAATTCTTTTTTTTAATGTTTATAAATAAATAAAAAAAATTAAAGCTTTTTTTTAAATCGTCCTCAAACGATTTGTTAGGAATTTAATAATTTTTTTAAAAAATCTGTTTTAAAAGAAGAAGATAAAAATCGGTTAGGATTTACATGCTCCACGCTATTTTAAACTAAGTTTTTCAATTTTAAACCACTGTGCAAGGTTACTACGAAATGTTATAAGTTGTTACAAAACAATTTGCTGGATTAAACAAATTCCTTTAATTTGTTTTTAGAATTTAAAGGTTTTTTTTGACGTTTAATCTTTTTAATAAGAATTCTTTAGAACTAAATTAACTAAATTAAATAACTAGTAGTATAGAGTTCATCCGCGCGCTTGGAGAGTTTTCTGCATGTAGCTACTTAATTTCTAGATCATTCTGACTTTAAGTTTTGAATAAGAAATATTTGTTAACAAATTTAAGAGACAAGGAATGGAACCAGTTTTGGGTAAACCTGATTTCGATGGAGACTAATCAAATACTCTAAACGTGTGAATAAACAACAAAGTATAAAAAAAAGAAAATTTTAATTCTTTTCACTGAGTAATAATGGTTTGGCTTATCATTAATGGTCTTTAGCTAGTACCCATTGAACTTCAGTTAAATTCCGTGTCTTCTTATATCTGTTACCAAATATTTCTAAATGAAAATTGAAAATCAGAAAGATCTTCAAATTAAAAAATTAATTTAAGAACGAATTTTTATTAAATTTAAGAAATGTTTTTATATATTTTATCAACTTTTAACAACCTTTAAATATTTCGTAGTATGTCTGAAGCAATTATTCCTTGAATTTTTTTATTTCCTATTCCCTAACTCACTGTTCCATTATCTACTGTCACATTTGGAGAATCCAGAGTATTTACAATGTTTTTTTAATTTATTCTTCTAAACAGACTATTTTGATATACATTGAGTACCAATTTTTTTTATATTTTAAGCGCAATTCTAAGCGTGTTTTGTTTTTGTCTAGGACGTTGTATTCGAAACTTTTCTTAAATATTTGAATTTTATATCATTTTGTAATGGTGTCTAAATTTCGAAGTAGAGAACATGACTATTGTAGTCTATCGTCCGCCAGTAATAAGTAACGATTCGTCTCTTTTTTGTCGAATCTGAATGTTTATACAGACAAAGTTCAGAAGTTTGAGAGTTTCAGTGTAATGTATTATAAATTACAAACATCAACAACTTCGCCATTCAGTATTGTGTCTTTCTCATCTCGACCACTTTTTATCGCTATCCAGATGACACGTTCTATGACTGTTCTACAAACTGAGTAACAGTGTTATGAGTAACAAATGTTACAAAATTAATATAAAATAAATATGTAACAGGAAGAAAGCAGTAATCTGTAGTTTAGTTACAATGGTATTACATATTTATGCTATAACAATAAGTCGTTACTGGGAAGGTTTTGAAGAGTGACATAAGATTGTTACAAAGACATTAAATAACAGCGTAACAAACTTATTGTAGGTTACATTAAAAAATTTGAAGATTATTTGTTACGTAACAATTGTTACTTATTATTCAATTGAAGTGTAACATATGTCGTTATGCAAAAAGAATTTAGATTTTCAAAAAATATAGTATATAATATATTATATAAATATGATATGTATAATAATTTATCATATTATTAATACTTATTATACATATATAATAATATAATATAGTATAAATGTAATATGATAATATAAATAAGCAATTTATTGTAGATTACATTTAAAAACTTGAAGATTATTGGTTACGTAACAGTTTTCATGACTTAATATACAATTGAAGTGTAACATATTTTGTTTTTCAAATAGTATTTAAATTTACAATGGAATACAATATAATAATTATATAAATAGGATATTAAATATAACTTATCATATTATTATTTATTATACATATGCAGCAGTCCATTTCAAATCGTATCATTAGCAAAAGACTTGTATTAAAAATATTATAAATATTAAATAGAATTAATGTTTTTAAATAATAATTTTTTGATCTATAAATTAGTACTAAGATTTGGTGAAAAAAAAATTATTGCATGTAGCATTTTTCTTTTATTATGTTTACATTTTAACTCTCTGCTGATGCTAACTTATCCCTACTCTATTACCATAGAATGTGGCTCCCATAGTCCCCATCAGGCGTCTAAAATGACGTTAGCATCAGAAGAGGGTTAAAACAACAAAATGAAGTTCTTATGAAGCAAAACAAGAATTAATCAATTACAAATAAATTAATGCCAAAATTAATTGGTTGGTTGCTTACATTTATTTTTATAATAATTTTTTTATAATGACTAAAAAGACATGTGTGTATATTATATTATTGTAATATAATTGTTACAGATTATTTGAGTTACATATTTGTTACATATTTGTTACAGCGTTCAACGCTGACATTTTATATAACCTGCTTGTAACTCGCTACAAGGTTATGATAGAATATGTTACATACTGTTGTACAACAAGTATATGTATAATTAATACATATTTGCGTCAACTGGGAACAATATTTAAAATTTGGTTTCCAATTTAAAAGTTTAAAATTTTAATTAGCAAGTTTTACAATTTCTGGCTTTTCTGAAATATATGGTGTATGTACATAGTTAATATTATTTATACTTGAATTTTTTCGATCAATTGCTTTCACTCGAACAAACAGAAACGCTGCCACAAGAGATGCAACTACTACTACTAAGAGAAGCATAACTAGGCCTCCTACGAAACCAGCTAAAGACATACAAATAGATTCAGAATCTGTATGTGAATTCGTGTTTTGTATCACAACTGTAGTATCATTGATTGGGTTTGATGCACCCAATGCAAAATTAACGTCACCTGGGGCTACAACTTGAATTGTGCGAGATGTATTTACATCCGTCATTTCTTGAGCAGCTCGTTTATGAACATGAGGTGTAACAATCGTTAGTGTAAGAAAGTTGTCCTAAAAAGATTTTAAACAGACATATATTACTGAATTTTTAATACTTATTTATATTTAATAATTTGAATATATATAAAAAAATAATTTATATAAGGCATTCTCTAACATAAAAGCCACCCTAAAAAAATTTCTTTTTGGAAATGAAGTATGTTAAAGTATACATAAAAACAAGTATGTATAGTAGATTTTTAGGTCTGTGTAATGCGTGGTTGCCATGTTATCAGGGGCTCAATTTTATTCAGTATAATTTTCAAATGGCAATATCTTTTACCCAAGCCATATTAATGGATTTTAAAGTTGTATAAGTGTTTTTAGTAGAGAATCTTCCAAACTTTTGAATAAAATTACTAATTATTTAAAAAAAATGTAGTTTCATAAAAAAATTAATTTTTTTTTCAATTTCCCCTCCTCATTCCCCCCTTCAAATTTCTTCAAAAATACCCAAAAATGTCCCTTATTTTATAACCTTTTTACCCCTCAAAAGCCATTTTGGGACATTGAAATGCGTACAAGCTACAGATTATTTTGTAACCCGGTGCAACTCATCAATTTTGACCTTATTATTATAATTTTTACCATAGTGTTCTGCAGTGAATGTCAATTAGGAATTTTTTTGTAAAATATATTGTTTGGAACATGGAAAGTAGGTGTTTCACCTTGCACTATTAAAAATTCATTATTTAAAAAAAATTCTAGACTTCAAATCTGTGTTTAATTACTGTAAAAAATACTGAATCACCATATGTATTTTAATTACACAGCCACACAAAAAAATAAGAAGTTCTGATCTGGGGGGTCTCACTATGTAGACTTTATGTTTTTTGGGTCGCTGAATCCAAATCCGAGGTCCATTTAACCCCATCAGATCAGGATTTTGACATAACCTCAAAAAACCAATATGGTGGACATGTTTTTGAAAAGTTTATCGGATTCGCTTGAAATTCGTTACTCGGGGGTTTTTGGGGTCGTAGATTACGAATTTGAAGTCTGATTTCAAAAATTCAAAATGGCGGATCCAATATGTCGGACACGTTTTTGAAAAATTTATCAGATTAGCTTAAAACTCGTTACTCGGGGGTTTTTGGGGTCGCTGATTACGAATTTAAAGTCAGATTTCAAAAATTCAAAATGGCGGATCCAATTTGGCGGACATGTTTTTGAAAAGTTTATCGGATTCGCTTAAAACTCGTTACTTGGGGTTTTTTTGGGTCGCTGATTACGAATTTGAAGTCTGATTTCAAAAATTCAAAATGGCGGATCCAATATGGCGGCCACGTTTTTAAAAAATTCATCGGATTCGCTTGAAACTCGTTACTCGGGGGTGTTTTTTGGGTCGCTGATTACGAATTTAAAGTCAATTTTAAAAATTCAAAATGGTGCATCTAATAAATCAATGGGTTCTACGAATTCGGAACTATCGTTTTGTTACCGACACGAAAGGTACTAACTATACGATGCAAGTTCACAATGATCTAACTTTTTGTTCCCGACAAGAAAAGGTTTAACTATAAAAATGAAATTTTTCAGTACAGTAATTTGAAATTTCAAATCCATTAATCAAATCGAGGAATCTAAATAAATTAGTGAATTTTCAAAAATTTAAAAGTTATTTTGTAATTTGAATGAAATATATATAAAAAAACATGTACACATCAATATAAATGTGAAAAAGTAATAGTTTCTATATATTGCTTTGGTTATGTTCCAATTCTAATTTTCAACATGATATAAATATGAAACAGTAAATAAATAATACATGAAAATAAATATTTAAACGATTAATAAAATAAAAAATAACAATAAACATAACAAATATTCAAATATTAAAAGTATTAAGAAAATGAAATATAAATTAAATTTGAAAAATTGTAAATATTTAAATATAAAATAAATAATAATAATAATAAATATAATTAAATATATTAATAAATATTTAAATGATTAATAAAATAAAAAATAACAATAAACATAACAAATATTCAAATATTAAAAGTATTGAGAAAATGAAATATAAATTAAATTTGAAAAATTGTAAATATTTAAATATAAAATAAATAATAATAATAATAAATATAATTAAATATATTAATAAATATTTAAATGATTAATAAAATAAAAAATAACAATAAACATAACAATTATTTAAATATTAAAAGTAATGAGAAAATGAAATATAACTTAAATTTGAAAAATTGTAAATAATTAAATATAAATATAAAATAAATAATAATAATAAATATAATTAAATATATTAATAAATATTTAAACGATTAATAAAGTAGAAAATAACAATAAACATAACAATTATTAAAATATTAAAAGTATTGAAAAAATGAAATATAAATTAAATTTGAAAAATTGGAAAAAAATAAAAACATGTTTTAATGTCAAATTAAAAATTTATTTCCTGTTGTAAAAATAACATATCTTTAAATTCTTGAAATAACATTAACACAATTCAAAAAATTCAATTTAATATAAAATATTGTATTCTTCAATCTTCCTCTTTGCTTTCATCTTCATCTTCCTCAGATTCTGAGTAATTTACAATAGCAGGATTTTGTGTCGAACTTAGTGAGTTGTAAAATTCGTGATATTTAGAAGGAATCGTTCCATTCGCGCATAACGTTAAAAGATCCTTAAGTTTTTTCTTATCTATCGGGATGCCACCAGTGTAAGCTTTAGGAAATTTGTAGGTTTGAAAGTTTACAGGACGACCTATCTTTTTGTTCACATCTAAAATTACAGGCTCATCCATAAAATGGTATTTTAATTCGACTGTGTGCGGCTTTTCAGGAGTGACACTTATTTCGCGTACTTGAGCCCATGATATTTTCTTTTTATTGACATCCTTATCCCAATTTTGAGCCTGTACCAAAGGTTTGAAGTTTAAAATGTCTTCGGTTTTAACTTCATATGTAATGTAAGGCTTCGACGAAGCTTTAGCGTTTGCTATTAGATTGATCCACTCCTGTGGTTCGCAAATGAGTTGGTTTTTGCTTCGTCTTTCAATCAAAGCATGCATACTGTCCCCTTCGTTTTGAGTGTGGCCTTTTTCCAAAAATCTGTGAATTATTTTAACACCAAATTTGACTGCAGCGTACAAATACATGGCGAAGATAAATCTGTTTTTATTCTGCCCTCCACAATTATCAGAAAATAGTCGAATATCTCTAACCCCTTTTTGACTTTTATTTTCAATAAATTTTAATACACCACTACCAATTTCGTTGGATCCCTTTTTAGCTATGTTTTTGCCCCATATAAAACAGAATCCTTCATGGTCAGCACAATCATAAATTGTGAATTTGTGTATTGAAAACTTGCGTTTATAATAAAATCCTGAAATTTCTCCATGTGGAATGACTAAAACCTTTTGTAGATCATAACAGGCAACGCAGAGTGTTTTATCTTTTAAGGCTTCTTCTTTTGCTGTATCCTTTACAAATCTTGCAGTATCTTTATTTCTAATATGCGATTCATAGACTTCTCGAGTGTTTTCTTTTTGTTCTTCGGTACTATTTTCCCAAATTGCACATTGATCACAGATGTCTTTTTTTGATTGATGAAAGCTCAAGTTAAATTCGCGATTAAAAATATCTCGGTATTGTCGCTCTGTAGCAATTTTCTCAAATTTTTCTTTTGCCCATTCCAGGTACAATGAGTGCATTTTTCTAATAGATAGGCCTTCTTCTAAATACTCTTTGTTCGAGTCTTTCCTTGAATAATGAGATGGAACTTTAGGAAACAAAGAAATGTGCTCTCTAATACCGTCTTTTAAACACTCTGGTATCTTAAATCTATTTTTCGCAAATTTTCCGCGCATATCAGGTTCAACGGTTCCGCTATTATTGACTTTTTTAAATGCTGTGAAAGCCCATTTACAACTGATTCCTAGTGTGTCTAGAAAAGTAGCTTTGCAAACTCGGATTTTATTGCCTTTGATAGTTAAAAAATATTGTCGACTGAATGTTCTTCGACTTGTCCACTCTTTGGTCGTTTTCGTTTTGGTTTCACTTTGCTTAACGTGTCTCAAAATATAATTCCATTTTTCTTCCTGGGTAGGTATTTTCCAAAATGCATTAAACACTTCAAGTCTTTCATTATCGGGAATATTAGCTTTGCATTTGAAAATACAATTAGCGTTACATCCTTCCTTCATATTTCGAGATCCAATTTCTCGTCCATGACGATTAGTATATGCTTCTCCGGCTTGTCTTGATTTTTTCGCTACAACATCTATCCATCGACTTCGATTAACCGAACGTTTTCGGACGTTGTGATTAGACGGTGATTCTCGTCGTCTCTTTCTCTTACTTGTAGATTGAACATCAGATGAATTGACTTGATTTTCCGTTACATTATCCACAGACCTAAACGTATATTCAATTATTTTATTTACTTATTTTATTTATTTATTTGTGTTTAAAAAACAATTTATACTTTTTAATAATAAAACAGTTTTTAAAAATGAAATAATATATTAAATTTCAATATATAGTTTTATTAACAAGGTGTCTACTATTTTCGTTTAATAAAATTCCCGGATTTCTCGGCTATATCCTAATTTTTTCCCGGTTTTTTTCTCATCAAATTTAAATTTGACTTCGAACATAAATAAATCTTAAAATTTTTTGAAAATAATGATTTTTTAAATAATTTTAATTGAAAAATTGGAAAATAATTTAATTAAACAAAGAATTTTTTAAATTTTTTAAAAATAATCTTGTTTCTTTATAATTACAATTAAAAATTTGATTTTTCAATTTTATTAAAATTATATTGATAATAATTGAATTTCTACAAAGAATTTTACTATTTATAAAAATAATTAAAGAATGCTATTAATGCCTTTTAAAGAATGCTATTATTTATAAAAATAATTTAATTCTTGTAAAGAATTTTATTAAAATTTTTGAAAATAATAAGCAGTAATAATTAATTATTCACTTAATAAGTAATAATCATTTAATTTGCTCAAGAAATAAATAAATATCATTTATTTGAACATTCAGAAATTTGAAATTATAAAAATTTAAGAGAAGTTCAATAATTATAATTATTGAATAATAATAGAATTTAATATAATTTTTATAAGCAAAAAATATGACTATAAAATTCAATTATTAATTAATTATTAAATTCAAATACTTTGAAAATTCTATTTGTTGAAAAGTTTCTAATGAAATTCTTTAACAAATTTAATTACATATTTTTAGTCCAATTTCACAATATTTCTATTAACTCCATAATTTTTTTTTAATTTATTTACATAATATGTTTGAATTGGTGACTAAGTTTTTACTATCAAATCAATTATTTTTAACTAATTTAAATTTAGAGAACAGTATAATATAAATATCTATAAAAATTGAAATAAGAAGTGAATTTTTAAAAACAAATTAAAATGATAAAACTTTTTTAACTTTTGTGAAAAAATTCCCAGTTTGGTATAAAATTCCTGGTTATTTCCCTGTTAGTAGACACCCTGATTAAATGCTTTCATTTTAGTAACATAATTATTTAATTTTTTTAATAATTTAAAATATTATATAATTTACTTTTCCGGAATTTCAGCATCAGTTTCAAACGGAACGTTTTGTAAAAGTGAATTATCTGTAAAAAATATTAGTTTTATAAAAAAAGTTTTTCTACGATTTGTTGTTAACTATAGATAAATATTTAAATTGTAATAATATTTATAAAAAAAAATTTATTTAATAAATGTTTTAATTTTAAAAATATTAGAGATAGAATTATTTAGGTTAAAATTTCTGCAGTTAAAAACCAATGGCTTAACAATATTTAATGTTATTGTTTTATACTTACTTTCAACGTCGGAATTGTTGTCCAGATTGGAGTCATTAAAATCCATTTTGTATACAATTTTATATTTTCATTAGGTGAGACAATATGATAATTCTTTGTCATGTTTATAATATTTATAAATGTAAAAAATTGTCAATATTGTTAATAACCAAAAATCTCACCTTGATCGTGTTGCGCAAGCTCGATATTCATTTTTTTTAGATAGATCACTTTTCGTTGGAAAAATGTCATGAATGAGAAATTATTGAATTTAATTTTAAGTTTCTTCTTTTAAATACATTTTATATAAAACTAAGTATAGCGGAATTTGAAAGAACTTAAATTTCTAAATCATTTGACATTAATAATTAAATTATGCAAAAAATGCAGTTAAACCTTTTCTTATCGGGAACAAATAGTTAGATCATTGTGAACTTACATCGAATAGATAGTACCTTTTGTATCGGTAACAAAACGATAGTTCAGAATTCGTAGAACCCATCGAAATATGTTCTTTAAAGGAATTAAGAACTTGAGTGATCCAATTCACCCAGAATTACTCTATATCTTACGTGTGCCTGCATCCAGGGCACCAACGGTGAGCAACGGAGTTTGTCAGCTATCCGGCTATGTTGTTGGATGACGACGCCTGAGAGCCTGCTTTCTAACCCTCAACCGCCGATACTGGGGTTCCGAGTCCCTGCATCGTAGCACGTTTTCTACGTGTGTCTGCCATGACGGCATCGAAGCCATTACCCAGTGACTTAGCCGGATAGTGGAAAACTCCGTTGCCCACCGTCACCTCGTGGAGGTGCCCTGGATGCAGGCACACGTAAGATATAGAGTAATTCCTTGTAAATTGAATAACTCAAGTTCTTAATTCCTTAAAAGAACATATTTATTGGATGCACCATTTTGAATTTTTGAAATTGACTTAAAATTCGTAATCAGCGACCCAAAAAACTCCCGAGTAACGAGTTTTAAGCGAATCCGATGAATTTTTTAAAAACATGTCCGCCATATTGGATCCGCCATTTTGAATTTTTGAAATCTGACTTTAAATTCGTAATCAGCGACTCCAAAAACCTCCGAGTAACGAGTTTTAAGCTAATCCGATAAATTTTTCAAAAACGTGTCCGCCATATTGGATCCGCCATTTTGAATTTTTAAAATCAGACTTCAAATTCGTAATCAACGACCCCAAAAACCCCCGAGTAACGAATTTCAAGCGAATCCGATAAACTTTTCAAAAACATGTCCGCCATATTGCTTTTTTGAGGTTATGTCAAAATCCTGATCTGATGAGGATAAATGGACCTCGGATTTGGATTCAGCGACCCAAAAAACATAAAGTCTATATAGTGAGACCCCCAGATCAGAACTTTTTATTTTTTTTGTGTGGCTGTGTTATTCATAACACTTCATGTAATTAGAATATCACTGCTTTTATAGAATTTCGTTTATAATATCAGTTGATTTTTACACAGTAAATAAATATATTTACTTTACTCTTAGTTGTAATATATACTAATTACTCGCAATATCATAAAAAAGTCACCCTCGCTTTCACTTTTCTGCTTGATTAAACTCATTTTATACACTTGCATCCTATTGCGCTGCATCTATATTTTGGTTTGCTTTTTACAACACCGCTTTTTAAGGTGTCATAGAATTAATATTACATAATATTCATTTTTTTATATATTTGTAAAAAATAATGCCAGTCGACAAATGGTTAAATTTTATGGATGGCGAATTTCAAAGGATTTAAACATTTATCGACTGGCATTATTCTTTACAAATAGATAAAGAACTGAATATCATGTAATATTAATTCTCTGACACCTCAAAAAGCGGTGTTGTAAAAAGCAAACCAAAATATAGATGCAGCGTAATAGGATGCAAGTGTAGGAAATGAGCTTAAACAAGCAGAAAAGTGAAAGCAAGAGTGACTTTTTTATGATATTCCGAGTAATTAGTATATTTATTACAACTAAGAGTAAAGTAAATATATTTATTTACTGTGTAAAAATCAACTGATATTAACGAAATTCTATAAAAGCAGTGCTATTCTAATCACATGAAGTGTTATGAATAAGTAAAATACATATGGTGATTCAGTATTTTTTACAGTAATTAAACACAGATTTGCTCTCTAAATCTGAATCAGTAAAATTCCACTGAAGATCAGTGAAATTTGACTGAGAATCAGTAACTCTATTCTCGCGATTTGAATCATTAGAATTTCACAGAAAATCGGTTAAAAATAACTGAAATTTCAGTCATTTTTCACTGATTCGCCAATTAAAAAACTATTGAAAATTTCTGTCACACATATTGAAAGTCAAATTTCACTGATTCAGTTTTAGAGAGTGAAGTCTAAATTTTTTTTTAAATAATGAATTTTTAATAATGCAAGGTGTCACACCTACTTCTCATGTTCCAAACAATATATTTTACTAAAAAATTCCTAATTGACAGTCACTGCACAACACTATGGTAAAAATAAGGGTAATATGGTAATAAATAAGGGCAAAATTGATGAGTTGAACCGGGTTACAAAATCATCTGTAGCTTGTACGCATTTCAATGTCCAAAAATGGCTTTTGAGGGGTAAAAAGCTTATAAAATAAGGAAAATTTTTGGGTATTTTTGAAAAAAATTGAAGGGGGGAAAGAGGGGGGAAATTGAAAAAAAAATTTAATTTTTTTTATGAAACTACATTTTTTTAAATAATTAGTAATTTTATTTAAAAGTTTGGAAGATTCTCTACTAAAAACACTTATATAACTTTAAAATCCATTAATATGGTTTGGGTAATGGTAATGTTAGAGAATGCCTTATATGTTCTATACTTACAGAAATATAATTATCATTTACAATGTCTCTTCGTTTTCTGGCACCTCGTAATTCCACCGGAAGTCCTTCAACTGATCTTGGTCGTCCTCCAAGAGTAACCAAGTTACCTTCATGTTCTTCAGAACCTACTGTTCCTTTTCTCTTTACAGTATGGTAAGCTCCTGTTGAGTGTCCTGGCAATGGTGGAGGCGGAAGGTGAATAATATCTTGAGTACTCTGAGGAGAACTACTTGCAGTTACATCTCCTGGTGTAGAGATAGTTGACGATGAAGAAGTTTGTGCTTGAGGAACTGGTACTATATCAGGATTAGGTTCGCTAGAAAATAAATAAATTCCTCTATTAGTGCCTCTATTAGTCCTCAAAGATTTTTAATTAAATTTGTGAGAATATTATTTTCTAACACATGAAGTGTGTGTTTTTCAAATTAATAAGTTCGGAGAAAAATCTTATATAAAATTCATTAAACTTATCAATTATTTCTGACTCTATCTAATTAAAAAAGTCGTATCTCGTAGGCTAGTGTTATCAATGTTAGTTATTAAATATAATATAAAGTTATCTTATCCAAAGCTTAATGTTTTATTTTGATGAAAAGAGTTTAGTTTTTATGTTTTGAAGACTGTTATGAAATTTTAAATAATAATTATCTAAATTTTAATTTGATGATAATAAAAATTTTGTAAAATTCATTAAGACTTTGATTAAACTTAAAAACATTTTATTTTATTTAAAGAATAGATTAACTAATTTATGTTAAGTAATAGTATATTGTGAACCAAGTGCGGAAAGGAGCTGTTTTCCGACGAGTTTGTTAGTTCATGCTCAAGTGTAGCGAAACCAGCAATCAACCTCATCAGAAAAGCTTGTACACAGTGTTTTGTGTAACAATTTTCAATTAAATAGTGTTTTGCATTAAATACTAAAATCTTTTATTAGAACATAGTTCATTTGATTTAAATAAAAATATTGTTGTTTTAAATAAATATTTAGTTTACAATAACTAATTGATTATTAGAATCAAATGAATTTTTTCAATGTATAATAAATAAAGTTATGTGAAAACACTGTTATATTTAATATCTTGTTTATGACAATAATATTAGAAGTTTTGTTTTATCACTCGCAAGAAATGTCAGTGTTTAGTCAGTTACAAATGGTGTCAAACCAAGCCATCGAAACGTTGCACAAGTAAAATAAGTGTTTTATTTATTACTCTTCCTATAATCGATCAGAAAACATAAACAAAAATATTAGAAGTAAGTATAAGAGTTTATAAATAAATTAATTTTATTAACCAAAATAAACTACTAACAAGTAAACCTACTTAAGTGTCAGTAATTGATTTGGCTGAAACTTGGCACATGCTTAGAACTCGGAAAATAAAAGAAACGTATTTCTTATTATTGGCAAAGAAGACGATTTAAGGGTTGAAACTACCCCTTTTATTGACTCAAAAGCCCCCGAGTAACAAGTTTCAAGCGATTTCAAGTAAATTTATAAAATTCGACCGTAATTTTTCGTATTTTTAAAATATCTATTTAAATAATGGTTACTTTCCCTTAGGGGTTCATCTCGTACACCTTTCCCTTACTTGCAAATTTTGAATAAGATAAATTTATATATTTAATAATTAACATTGATAATTATGAAATTTTTAATTAATATTTAATTAAAATTTTGAAAAATAAGACGGGCTCCTAATAAGAACTCACTTTACTGAGAGAAAAATTTGTTGTACTGACAATGAGAAACATCTTGATTGCAGTGGTTAACAAACAATATTTTTCTGACATCTTTGATGGTACTCAGTAGCATAATGATGGTACCGGATAATATAAAATATTGTGGGTTTTTTATATTACTTGTTGTTCAATTTTTGAACAACTTTACTTTTGTGACGATTTTAAATTTTTAAAAAAAGGTTACATGGACTCATTTTTATCTAGAATACATGTATATAAAATTCTGAGTAAATGTTTAGATTTATGTATATGTCAAAATATTGTGTACAAATTATCTTGGATACGTTTTGATGAATTGTTCTAAAATTTTTCAGGCTTATTGCAGTCATTAATACTTCAAATCCGACACGAGGATTTTCAAATACATCCAAAAAAAATTTTTACCATTTTTTCAAAATTTTGAGTAGTTATTTTCGTATTAAAGGCGCAAAATAGGTGATTACGACGATGGTAGATTTTAAACTATCAACATTCGTGCTACCAGGTAATTTTTTGTATGTAGACTATCAGAGGCTACCCGGGGTAACTACTATTTTTTATTTATATGTTGCAAAAAAGATTTTAATTTTTTAAGGCTTTTACATATTGCTCTATACTTGTTGTAAACAATGTAAATTTCGATAAATGACTTAAAATCTACTATTAAATTGATGCAAAACTCGATCAGTCATTACAAATTTTTTATTGTTGGCTACCCGCACACATCGCACAGTATTTCTCAGGAAGTTAACAAAGAAAATTTCCAAACTTTGTAAACTTCCTGAAATATACTGTGCTACGTGGGCGAATAGTTCCTAGAAGCGCGAAGGTTTGTTTTCTGCGGTCATCCGCTGCACCGAGATAATCCTGATTGAAAAAATCTAAAACAATGTTCATCAAAATTAATTATCTAATCCATACGGATATCTGCAGCCCTAAGCGCTTAAAGTTGTTTGGAGTGGACAACTTCACGATGTCTCAAGTTCCAAACGTTTCGGAAGTGAAGTATTCGTAATTAACAGATCTCCTGCTCTTGGAAAACTGGAACCACGGTCGCGCAAAGGCATTTCGTTGAATATATCCTCAAATCCAAGGCATATCGAATATGGTTACTAAACGAAAGACGAATAGAGGTATCAAGAAATGTCACTTTTACCGAAAAATTTTCCCAAAAACGCAGTCTCGAATCCATCGAATTTTCTAATGAAAACGAAACTTGTGAACCATCAAGATAAATAATGGAATTTTTTAAATTCGATCTTTGTTCCTAACCGGATTCGCTTGCAACTTGTTACTTGAGGTTTCTTGAGGTTGCTAATGATAAATTGTAACTTAGATTTAAAAAATTCAAAATGGCGGATATGAAATGTCTAATTCACTCAATTTTTGAAAATTTGCGTTGACAATTTTCAAATTTCAATCTCGTTTTTTCATTGTACAAAATTTTATAATAACATATGAACAACTTAAACTTTATCAGTTTTAATAGAGTCCTTGTCAAACATAATTTTTGCAACTTATCTAATGACGTTTACTATAAACTAGCTTATAATGTTTTAGGATACTTACCTGAAATAGGTTTACAGAAGATTACCTAGCAAAATTATCTTAACAATTTAATATCTAACAATTTAATATTTCATGAACTTTTCTCTACATATTCTCAAAAAATTTACTCGGATAACTTTCTGCAGGTTAACTCGGAAGAGTAAATAGCGTAGGACTTTTCGATGCTCATAAAAACTAACATGAAACTGATTGAATTTGTCCTCCTTATAAAAACAACTGTAAACTTCATTAATATTAATATTTTTAAATGAGGTTTAGGTTGTTTTCTTCAGTACAGTCCCAAACATACAGACAAATATGATGTCAAAATGACAAGTCAACAGTTGACAACTATTAAATCAACTGTTAACTTTCTTAAAAAGTGACTATTTTTAATAGAAATGACAGTATAAAGGTTTGTAAGGTTGCAGATAACGAATGTTATGTCAAATTGACACTTCAAAGCAGTCATATAACAAATGATAATTTTGTTTATATACGATAGTTGACACAAACCTAGTGGTTGGGTTAAGTATGTATCCATCTGACATAATTTTCTTATTTTGCGATCCAACAAATATTTATACTGGCATTTTTGCTACAAATAATAATCACTGTTCAGAAAATTTGATAGTTTATTTGGCAGCTGTCAAGCACGTAGAATTGTCAATTTGACATCCAATTCGTTTCCAGCGACAGTTAATTACGCTGAAAGGTGAAAAACTGACGGTGGTCCTCATTCACTTTTCTTTTATTCCTGTAACTTTTCACTTTAGTAATTTAAAAAAATAGTATCTTTATCAAAAGTCTACGGCATGGACGTCCGCAACATATTTATGGGTTGAAATCTGTGTCAAAAATAAAAACGAAAATTCTTTTGAAGTTTTTTAAAATATTTTATTGTTTTCGAGTTATTAATAAATAAAAGCATCAATGAAGCTCAATGGATTCTTTGTTTTTATTTTTGACACAGATTTCAACCCATAAATATGTTCACGCATGACTGAGACACCTAATATATTATTTTAGTGTAGTGTAAATAAGATACTAGAACACGAGTTAATCATTTAGTAGATCAGTTTTATCAAGTTGTTTTCTTTAGAAAAATCATATGTACTTTCTCTTGAGCTATTAGACCATTTCTTTTAGTAGAAAAAATAGTATTTCAGCACTTTTATTAAAATTTTTTAATTTTACCTGTATGCTCCTGCTGGCCCACTAGGATGCCGTGGATCAGGATACGCAGGAGGAACACCGTATTCAGGTACAGGTGGTGATCCGTACTCAGCAGAAAGTCCTTGTGGTACTGGTGCTCCATAATCATGAGGAATGCCTGCTACTTGTCCACCGTATTCAATACCCAAATGACCGCATTTGGGTTCCGGACAATTATAACGGCATACTTGTATCACACATTGGAAATGGACATTCATGCTATCCGGAAACTTAAATGCTTGAAAGTAAGCAAAGCTTACAACAGATGCACTAGGACCAAAATTTTTTATTTTCTGGAATCTGAAAGTCAAGGTTTTTAAAATATTAAAAAAATTAACATTTGGCTAGAAATAAATAATAAATCATTGTAGTTTTTATTTAAAAAACCAATTTATTTGTCCAACTGGCTGTTACAAGTGGTAACAACAAATGGTTGTTGTAGTTTAAAATACATAAAGTTTCGGTTGGTCAAACTTTATGCCATGTTTGGCCCGATGGTTGGCAAAACTCCGAGGAACTTAGTTTAAAAAAAACTTGTCAAAAATAATAATAGAAGATTAAAAATTTGTTGGTTGTCCTAACTTTGGGCAATGGTTTACCCGACGGTTGTCAAATCTCCCAGGAAATTGCTTAAGGTCAAAAAAATAAATACGAAAACATTTTTTCGTGCGGAAAGGGGGCGAAATGCATCCTTGATCCAAGTGTCAGGAAATAGTAACATATCAAATCTAATAAATTTAAAAATCAATGCAAATCAAACTGTTACATGGGAAAGATAAGAAAAAAAGCCCCAGTGCATCCCACCTCATACAGAGATTACCCAAAGCATAAAGAAACAGCAGATAAAATCAAACAGAAACAAACGGATCATTACAAAAAAACAAGATTAGCTAAAAAAAATTTATAAATTCATCCAGCAACAATTTTAGCCCCGGTTTTAATTTGACAATTCTGGAAATAAATATAAATTCATTAACTCACAACTCAAGATGCTATAACTTGCAACAGTCATTGGTGAATCAAAAAGTAGATATAGCCCTGGTATGCGAAACCAAACTTAAATTCAAATTTTTGAATTTTAAGAGGACTTTCTGGTTTAGAATTTCAAAAAAATCGATTTTTTTTTGCTTAAAAATGTTCCTTAGTATCATAGAATTACTGTCCCAAAACGATTTTTAAAAAATATGTACAAAAACAAAAGTTATAACAATATTTATGACGGTATGTATTTCAACAACAATCTACAGTTATCTTATTTACATATTTGGTGTTCCTCTTTTATTGATATTAGCTTAAAACTTGCTACTCGGGGGTTTTTGTGGTCGCTGATTACGAATTTGATGTCAGTTTTTGAAAATACAAAATGGCGGATCCAATATGGCGGACGAAAAAATAAAAATTCAACCGGATTTGCTTAAAACTTGTTACTCGGGGGTTTTTGGGATCGCTGATTACGAATTTGATGTCAGTTTTTGAAAATACAAAATGGCGGATCTAATATGGCGGACAAAGATTAAGAAATTAATTAAATTTAGTTGAAAATGGTTACTTGTGGCCTTTTGAGATTGCTAGTTATGAATATAGGCACAAAACATTAACGTTCTAGGAACGTTTTAAATACATATACACTGAAATAAAATGCTATAGAATCTAAAGATATGCTATTGCGGGCTGCCAAAAGCAGATATTGTTGAATGAATAGCATATGTTCAAAATCTTAAAGCATTGCGTTTGAATCAAATACTTCATTATCAATTTTGAAAGTAATACTGTCCGCCATATTGGATCCGCCATTTTGAATTTCCAAAAACTGACATCAAATTCATAATCAGCGACCCCAAAAACCCCCGAGTAGCAAGTTTTAAGCAAATCCGGTTGAATTTTTATTTTTTCGTCCGCCATATTAGATCCGCCATTTTGTATTTTCAAAAACTGACATCAAATTCGTAATCAGCGACCCCAAAAACCCCCGAGTAACAAGTTTTAAGCAAATCCGGTTGAATTTTTATTTTTTTGTCCACCATATTGGATCCGCCATTTTGTATTTTCAAAAACTAACATCAAATTCGTAATCAGCGACCCCAAAAACCCCCGAGTAGCAAGTTTTAAGCAAATCCGGTTGAATTTTTATTTTTTCGTCCGCCATATTGGATCCGCCATTTTGGATTTTCCAAAACGGACATCAAATTCGTAATCAGCGACCCCAAAAACAGCGGGATACGAAGTTCTGTTGTAATAAAAAGTTGTTTGATATTCATGACTCAATGAATTATGTTATGAAAACTTTAAACGCGTTTTTCTCGAAAACTCATTTTTCAAACTAGTACAGAGCTTTTCTCGAAATCTACCGAACCGATTTTGAAATCCCAAAAAATTTTCGATTCTTTATTTAAAAAACTGGTGCCTAAACCTCTAAAAACTCATATTTCTACCGCCTGTGTTTTTATATGGAGGTAAATTGACCCAAAAACACGGCGTTTTTGCGAGTTTTTGAGAAAAATGTACATATAAAATAAAAAAACCTTTAAAAAAAATCGTTTTTGAGGTTTAGGCACAAGAATAAATCCTTATGAAGAGATTCCCGTTTAGAACTTGAATTTATGTATTACAGGTTGCCCGGAATCTAACGTACCAAAAAAAAGGTATCTTTTGGAAGACGCCACCTACAGCTATGTAATTGAACTAAATACACTCAAACATATTTTTTAAATTTTCTCTACGCAATGTGCTACAATGTCCAAAAATAGTTTTTAAATTTCTTTAATACTGTTCTTACAATAAAAGTTTTAAAACCTTCCTTTTTTGTCAATTCTAAACCAGAAAGTCCCCTTAATGTAATTAGAAGCTATAGGCAAAAAGCAGCATGAAGTTATCTTATGTAGCTCAATACATCTATTTTAAAGAACAATAGGTTTCATATATATCGCTAAACTAGATCCCGAGATTTTGATTTTTGCTCGATACATTTCATCTATTCGACCGTCGCCTGCGAGCATTTTTACTTAAATTAAAAATCGGATAATTGCTAATTATTCTGTTTCTAAAGAAATAAAACTTCTTGGGCAACTTTTTAAGGGAGATATCTACAAATTGAGAGTCAAATTAATAAATTGGATAATCATTCTCGTTTTCGCAATGACCAAAAGAGTTTCAGAAATCGTTCGTGTTCTGCTAATAAAAAATGTAATTTTTAGTATCACCATAAATTTAGTGAAAAGGCGACGAAATGCAAAAAAATGTGTTATTATTCAGCTGGCTCGAATAGCAACAATAAACAGTCGGAAAATTAAAAACCAATCCCCGTTCGGAAACTATTGGTTTTGACGTAAACTCTAAACGTCTCCACATTCGCGTTAGAAAATCTGTATTTCTTTTTTTCATTTATACCGGGTCTGTCATATCCATTATCTCTATACAGCAGAACTTGAAGCTTTATCGGACTAAATCTATTCTTTACGCTGCAAATCATTCGAAAATCCTAACTTTTGTCGTTAATTATTGTATTTATGAGAGATATGAATTGGAATTTCTGTTTACCGGCAGTACTAATTTGGCGAGGGATTGTGAGGTTCGAAAGGTATTGTCATGTAGTGTTTCTACCGTTAATTATGAGGTTGCTTTTGCCGAGATTTTAGCCAAATATCCCAAAGTTATAGGGCCTGAGCAGGACATTTAAACAACACTGAAGATATTTACTATCATGTTGTGACAAATGATCCCCTCTTGCTGAGCGCGTTTGTCGCCTCTCTCTAGAGACGTTGTTGTCGACGTTTAAACACTTCCCGGGCTGCTTCAACTTAACGCCGTGACTTAATCAGATAGATACCCAATTCCCCATTCACACGACTTCATTGCTAATCTCGTGGGAAGACCAATATCTTTCGTATGGAAACTGTAAATAATAATTCTTACAAAATTTACCTGTCCGAGCTCGCAGAAACTCAATCTGATAATGGTTTAAAAAAGCAATTTTCAACTGAGAATGGTCTATTAGACTGAAGAAGTTCGTTTTGGGCCCAAAAAAGATCAAATTATTTTGTGATACAAATTAAGGTCATTTAATTTCTGATTCACTTCGAGAAAAGGTATTTGAAGTAGTTAAGAATAAGAAAACGAATATGAGACAATTTTGTTTCATCAATACATATTTAACGTTAAAAAATGTTTTTTGTTAAAATGTTTTGGAATATTAGTTAATTGCTCCGCCCATAGTTGTCCACTAACAAACATCATCAATATCATAGACATATGGACATGTTGGGCAGCTGTTTTCTTCGACCAAACATCAAGTACATCATGGATATGTTCGGAAGACCTTGTCGCGGTGGATGGGCTTAGCACTAAAGGAAAACCAGAGACAGCAAATCGACGGTTTAGAGTGCAAACCTGCTAATTCACAATTATAAGAATTTTTAGGTTATATTCTTATAGAACAAAACTTTCAGTATATTTATTTTATTAATAGAATAACACAATGCTACTTAATAATAATAAGTACTTCCTTTTGAAATATATTTTAATTAATATCTCTTTCACTCAAAATATAGACACATTTCAATACAATACAATATATTATGTCGAGTTAGCAGTGCAATTTGACAGGTATGGAGTTAGTTGTTTTACTAACAACACTTTTTTAGCAATTTATAGACATAATTTCTTCAAACTGTTTTACTTGGCTGATGTATCACCTCTTTATCTATCAAATACAAGAAGAATCTCAAATTCGATAAAAAGTGGAGTTAGCAGGTTTGCACTGTAAACCGTCGAAGTTGATAATGAGTGATTGTAAAAACAAGGAGTCCTTGCGGCGTAATGATTTGGTAATGCTTGTTCCAGAGCTCAGTAAAGTGCAGGTGGTATTGTATTGCCTTACTGAGACAGTTAGTAGAGGAGTAACGATCTTAGAGCCAAACAAGCGTGGTTTAAAGATGGTTATTGTAGTCACTAACTTGGAAGAAGTTGAAAAGTTGGGACGCATACAGGTGGACTTTATGTCGTGTCCAATCAGAAGAAGATGTTTGGTTGTTACGTGTAATAGGTGCCTTTTTACGGACATATAGGAAGAGTTTTTGAGGCGGTAAACAGATCGACTGCGTGCTAGGGATGGCAAAGTCGACTTCGACTTTCGACTAAAGTCGACTTTCCATTTTTAAAAGTCGACTTTTAGTGATCGACTTTCAATTTAATAAAGTCGACTAGAATCGACTTTGCAGTGTCGACTTTCGACTTTTAAGTTTTTTTCAAAACCAAAGCAAAATGACGCCGGATACGAAAACGGGTTCGGAAAAGTTGAGTTAGAAAAGGAGAGAGATAATATCTGTCTATACTGCTAGAGAGAGACTACTCTGATTGGTCGGTCAAATCTACTCCATTATTCTACAACCCAGTATCAGTAACTGCACCCTGACCACTCGCTCGCTTTTAGGTTACATTGAAAATAGGACCTAAGGAAGTTTCTGCCGCGAATCGCGAAAAATCTTAAACAAAAGAGTGTCGTATAGTGAACAATTAAAAGTAAACATATTTATCATGTGCAGTGAATAAATTAATAGCCTAACGTCTTAGAAATAAAGATTAAAATATAATTTTAAACAATGGCACCGAGTGCTGTTTGGACATATTTTACAAAAATTGACAACAACACTAAAGTGAAATGCGGAAAATGTGGTAAAGAAATGAATTTTAACAATAGCACAACAACATTAGCAAATCACTTGAGAACAGCACATAAAATTACCATTGAAAGACAAATTCCTACAAATGTAAAAAGAATTCGGCTCTCTTCTGTAGATGAAGCAAACATAAATGTTAATCCTCTGTCTTCTCAATCTTCAGTTAATAAGGAGGTAAGATATCCATATTTACTTTAATAATTTGATGCAAGAAAGTTTTTGTTAAACAGTTCAGTACCTTACAAATAATTAATTTTAAAAAATACACTTAAAAATGTGATTTTACATGCTGTGTATGCGAAGGAAAGAACCTATTCTAAGCGTGACATTTTCACAGAATTTTTGTAATTTGATCTCATATAGAACAGTAAATTTACACGACTGAAAGGAGTAATTTTAAATTTAATTATTCAATTCCCAATAATCTGTAAAAATGACATTTTCAATTTGCGAGAAGAAAACCATCTCACAGTACGGTAAATTTAAATGGCGTTGCGAAATTCACCGGGTGATTTAAAATTGCTCTTCTCAGTACTGTAAATTTATAGAATCTTGTATTTCTAACCTCAAAATCTATTGCCACACTGACTGGAGTAAAATTACATAAATTTGTAACGAAATTCGTTAAAGAATCGTGTAATTATACTGTTCAAACAGCAAAATTTATACTTTTTTACAGTGTACGTTTAAAATAAATTTTTGTAGGTTATGGCGTCTGAAGCTTGTTCGGAAGTACAATCGGATTTCAATCAAGAAATAGTTAAGAAAGCATCTACATCTACATCTTCACCAATAATTTCTCCAGGACCAATGAATAAGTGTATGAACAACGTATTATCATTCTCAGGTATAAAAGCACAATCTGATTTTACTGATTTTAAATGAAAAACCTTAAAGCATGAGTCAATTTTGTTAGCGTGTAATGGACAAGTTTCGTGTGAATTCCCTTGCTTCAAAAAGCACACTTGTCCTGGTATCATTCTTTTCGTAATTTTAGAATTTTGTATACAGTTGTGCAATTAATAATAACATTTAAAATATAATACTAATAATCCTAATAATAATAATAGTAATAAAATAATAAAAATAATAATAGACAATTATAACTTTCTTTTAGCTGGTGGATACAGAGATATTGCCGCTACTAACGCATTGATTTTTATGATCGCTAAAGATGATATGCCATTGCGTACTCCTGAGCGTACTGGTTTTCGATATTTTGTAAAAAAATTACAACCACTTTTTCAAATTCCATCCGAATCGACTCTCACAAGAAGACTAGAAAATAAATATTGTGAATTGCGAGAACAATTTTCTTGTCTTTTGTCTCAATCACCATCAATTTGTTTAACTGCTGATATTTGGACTCACTCAAGTACAATGAAATCATATTTGGGAGTTACAGCTCACTTCTTAGTTGGTAAGAGTTATTTTTAGATATATTATCCTAAAACTATTTTAATTTTATTTTTTTTAATTTAACTATTTTAATTTTTTAAACTATTTTAATTTAAACTAAAAATATTTAAATTCTTCTCTGTGTTAACGTTTATATCTCTAAATCTGTTATAGGTATGGATATGCAGTCAATTGACCTTTGTGCAAAGCTTATTACAGATAGAAAAACAATCGTTAACCTTCGATGCATTTTCAAAGAAATTTGCCAAGAGTGGAAAATTAATTATGACAAAATTGTGGCTGTTCTAACCGATGGTGGAGCTAATATTGCTGGAGCTGTTCAAGAAGAGTTTGGTGCATCAAAGCACATCAGCTGTCTTGCTCATAAGATTAATAATATTGGTCAAGCATGTATTGATCTTCATGAGAAGAAGCTTCCTTCGGAAGAAACGAATTACAGTGAAGTTCCTGATAATGAAGAGGACTTAGACAATGAAATTAATGATGAACAATTAGCTGATTTAATATCGAAAACGAGTAACAATTTTATAAAACAGATTATTTTAAAAGTAAAGCGGATTGTACGATTTTTTAAAAAGAGCGAAATTGCTACTTCCGAATTAGAGAAACTGCAAATAGAGTCTAACGTTGAAAATAAAACAACGTTAAAATTAATTCAAGAGGTAAAAACAAGATGGAACTCTTGTTATGATATGTTGGAAAGGTTCCTCTTATTATCAGGATTTGTCACTGTTGTTTTGATGAATCTTCAGCGAAACAGAAGTTCAAAAAGTAAGCCTCCTATCATGTTGACTGCTGTAGAGTTGGAAATTATGCAGGAGGTAAAAGACGTGTTGAAACCACTTTGGCAGGTTACACTTGAAATGTCTTCCGAAAAAATTGTAACATTAAGCAAATGCATACCCCTGATCAATGCAATGAGATGCGTAAGTACAACTTAATATATAAATGTAAAATGAAAATTAGTAATATGCTAGTAAATTAAAATTTTTTTTTCAGAAAATTAATGGAATCGAGACAAGAACTAAAGACGGTTTTAATTTTAAGAAAAAGTTACAATCTTTAGTTGAAGCAAAATTTTCAAACGTAGAGTTTGTAAAACCGTACTCAGCTGCGACTCTTCTTGATCCAAGGTTTAAAAAAGACGTATTCACTAACATAGTTGCTGCATCAAAAGCAGTAACACATATTGGTAAGAAATATTTTTATTTTAATTATTCTATTTTAAAACAAAAGTAATGTATGCATGTATGTATAGGCAAAGAAGGTACTTGATTTGATGTGTTGTTTTTGTCATTTAGTAATCCAATTAATGCAGTTATATATATCAAAAAATTAAATATTATTTTTAAAAATAACAAAATTATAAATTTAATAAAAATTTTTAAAAGAAATTTAAATTTTATATCTAAGAACTCGTATAACTCGAAAAATAGATATAAAGTTCTTCAAAAATATATTGATTTTAAAATATTTAAAATTACTTGTTTTAAAAATCGAACTCAATTTTATCTACTACATTAAACTATACAAGATTTAAGTGTGTTTTTATAAAAAAATGACTAATTTCAGGTTCATTGGTATCAGAATGTATTGGAGTTGATTCTAGAAATCTAGTTCAAAATTCTCAAAAAGTTTCAAGCTCAGAGGACAGTCTTTGGTTTGAATTTGACCAGTCAGTGAAAGATAAGGTCTTAAACGCTGATCAAGATGTTGCTGGTGGAATCCCAGTGGAAATGAGACAATATTTAAATAGACCCATCATTAATCGTATAGAAAATCCTAACCCGCTAGCTGCCTGGGCTGTTTTAAAAGGAGAATATCCTCATGTATATAAAGTGGCGCTTCAATTTCTACCGGTTTTAGCCACCTCTGTTCCAGCAGAGAGACTTTTCTCTCATACAGGGCTAATAGCGACAAAACTTAGAAATCGAATTTCTGGAAAGCACCTAGATCAACTAGTATTTATGCGTAGTTTGGACGAAAAATGGTTTAATTAGTTGTACTTAAAAAGATAATGTTTATAAATAAATGTTACATGTTTGATTATATGTATTACAAATATAATAAGTTAATTGCACAACATAATACAGTTTTTTATCCAAAAAAGTCGAAAAGTCGAAAAAAGTCGACTTTTTCTTATCGATCAGTCGACTTTAAAGTCGACTCAAACAGAGTCGATCGAAAAGTCGAAAGTCGACTTTCTGGTGAAGTCAAACAACCCTACTGCGTGCTTTCGGTGCAGTAAAGCCAGTCACATATGAGCCTCCGGAAAGTATAACCATACATAAAATTCTGACGCCCATTGAATTAGCATGGCGGTTAGAATTTTATGTTTGGTTATACTTTCCGGAGGCTCATATTTTTCTCGTGTAAAAGAAGCCCAAGCTGCTTCTTGTGTAAAAAAAATTACAGTGACAAAGTTAATGTAAACTATGTCACAGAAAGTTATATATGTGGAGTCTTTAGTTTGGTTTTCAGGAGGACAAACAGACTTTCATAACAACTGAAAATAAATATTGCAGAAGAAGGACGGAGAATGAGTGATTTAATGGGACCTTTACCCACGAAGTATGAAGCCAATAGGTAGTTTCGTTTGTTGAAGAATAGTTCAGAATAAGAAGGGAGTGGTTTTTAGTAAGTCTAAGTATCTGATCTTTTGCAGTTTTTTCACTTCCGACTATAAAAAAAATCTTACTTGTCATTTGGTAAACTTGGTCAGAATATGTTTTACTTGTTTTTTAGACTATTTATATCATTAATGAAAAAAACTTGACTTTTTAAACTTATTATTTAACTACTAACGCAACAATTATTAAATTACATTTACAGGGTGTTTTAGTTGAGAATGTACATGTAAAAGGGTTGGAATCTATGGCGAAAATGAAGGAGGAAAGTCCTTTGAAGTATTTCAAAATATATTTTTTTCAAGTTTATTAAAAAATAAAAGGCATTCAATGAGGTACTGGAACTCCCGAGATTTGGACTCCCGAACTTTGGATTGTGTTCACATAGAGTATAGACAAACTAGAGTGAGGGGTCGGTGGGAATCACAGACAAACATTTAACTAGAAGCAGTAGCGTCTGCATAAAGTGTACCGTTTTGTGGCTCTTTCTAAAAAGTTGTTAATAAATTGAATCATGTTAATCAGTTGTTAATTATAAATATTAAAAATTGAAAAATAATTTTAATTACGTTTTAATAAATGACAAAAAAAATTGTCATTAAATATGTAATATTCATTAAGCGCATCTTCGTTTTAATGAAGAATACGGCCCTGAATATTTATACTTTCAGTCGTCAAAGTGTCTCCTCCGAACATTGGACACCATTACAAAGCAGTCCAAAGTTCGGGAGTTCCAGTGTACTGCGTATTAAACAGTCAGCGGCTGGAGGAGCAGTTAATCTATTACGGAACTTCCTATTCAATATACAATCTAAATGAATCAAATCAAAGCATAATTGGACATTTTTGTTTGTTAAATAATTTCAAAACAATATAACATTTGATAAACAAATGCGACCAATTTGCGTCCAGTGTAAAGTCCAATAATAAATTAACCACTCCTTCAGACACTAACTTGCTAATGCAAAAAACATCATTGAATACTAGACTAAGAGCCTACAACTTGTGAACTTACGTCATTTTCTTATGCTTAAAATCATGCTTATCCTCTCCTTTGAATACATCTGACGGAGAAATTAACAGTCTGCCGGTCTGTAGATGTTGCATATTCGAGTTTTTGAGTAACAGAAAAACAAAAATAAAAAAAAATTACGTAATTTTCTTAAGCTTAATTTTTTAATATGTTTTTCCTTATATAATTCTGAATCAAAATATACTAGGGCAGATCATTTGGACATTGCTAACACATTGGCAGACTGTGTTATATTTATAGTTTTGAATTTTGTTGTACATACGTTTACTGTTTACGTAATTTTCTCAAAGCTCATCTTTCAACATGTTAATAAATAAGTTTTGTAAAACTTATAATTTTAACAGACTATTTTTTGTCGTTTAGATGATTTCAAAATATATAATATAATTTCCCATATAGCACAATGTCTTGCTGCAAGTTTGTGGTGTGGATTAAACGTATGGTTTGTGAGCTTAAGTGGAATACTTGTGGTAAACATAGAGTGAACTTTAAAGTTCCGCCCTTATGATAAGCTTACAAGTAAATGTCAAGGTAAGTTTACAAGTAAAGGTTAACCCTTTAACGCCGGGACAAAAATTCCAAAAAGTTATGGCCACTTATTTGGAAAAAAATGCAAATTTTTGACATCTTTGATTCAAAAATGATTTTTTTTTCATATAACCAGTAACCAGAAAAATTCTTTACCATAAAATGTCGCGTCCACAATGTCCAAGCTTCAAAGTGATAAACCATACATTTAATAATTTCAAGATGGCGGATCCAAAATAGCGGCAAAAAATTTTTTTTCACAAAATTGACACTCTGTGGACGCTTTTCTTAATTCTCCTTTTATCTATATAAAAAGGAGTACCTGAATGTTTTTTAAGGTCGCTGATACGAATATGAACTGACATTTCAATAATTTTAAATGGCGGATCCAATATGGCGGTCGATATTTTTTAAATTGATCGGATATATTTCTAAATTGCTACTCGGGGGTTTTTGGGGTCGCTGATTACGAATATCAAGTCAGATTTCAAAAATTCAAAATGACAGATTCAATATGGCGGTCGATATTTTTGAAATTAATTGGTTTTATTTGAAAATTGCTACTCAGGGTTTTTTGGGGTCGCTAATTACGGATCTGCAGTCAGATTTTAAAAATTCAAAATGGTAAATCCAATATGGCGGTTAATTTTTTCAAAACTTATCGGATTTTCATGGAACTTTTTACTCGGGGGTTTTTAGGGTCGCTGAAAACGAATATAAAGTCAAATTACAAAGGTTCAAAATACCGAACCTTAAATGGCGGTCTTAATTTTAGAGAATAATTATAATGGTTTAAAATTTTATGTTTTTCAGTCATTAAAATTATTTTTATGATATCCAACTCAAACCACGAGAAGGTAAACGTACCTCCTCGTGCATTGATAGACAATGCATTCAGCTAAATGAATTAAGTAAGAAATTATATAGTTTCTAAAGGAAATGAAATTTAATGTTGCTGTAAAACAAATGACAACCCACTGCAAAAACCAAAAGAAAGACAATGCATTTATCTAAATATTAAATTTATTGTTAATACAAAAAAAACAAAGAGAAGGAGATTGCTCACAGTACATTTACCTTCTCATGGTTTAAGTCGAACAACATAAAAATATTTTCAATAGCTAAAGAACGTATAAAATTTTAAACCAATTTAATCATTCTCTAAAATTTTTACCGCCATATTGGATTCGGTATTATGAACGTTTGAAATTTGACTTTATATTCGTTTTCAGCGACCTAAAAACCCTCGAGTAACAAGTTTCATACAAATCCGATAAGTTTTAAAATAGAATAGCAGCCATATTGGATCCGCCATTTTAAATTCTTGAAATCTAAGTTCATATTTGTAATCAGCGACCTAAAAGCCCCCGAGTAACAAGTTTCATGCAAATCCGATAAGTTTAAAAAAAATAGCAGCCATATTGGATCGGACATTTTTAATTTTTGAAATCTGAGTTCATATTCGTAATCAGCGACCCCAAAAACCCCCGAGTAGAAATTTTCCAATAAATCCGATCAATTTTTAAAAATATCGACCGCTATATTGGATCCGACATTTTGAATTTTTGAAATCTGATTTCATATTCGTAATCAGCGACCCAAAAAACATTCAGGTATTTTTTTTATATAGATAAAAGGAGCCATTTTGGATCCGCCATCTTGAAATTTTTAAATTTATGGTCCATTACTTTGAAGCTTGGATATTGTGGACGCGATATTTTATGGTGAAGAATTTTTCTGGTTACTGGTTATATGAAAAAAAATCATTTTTGAATCAAAAATGTCAAAAATTTGCATTTTTTTCCAAATAAGTGGCCATAACTTTTTGGAATTTTTGTTTTTTGCAATTTTGGTGACAGATTCTGAAAGAGCGATAAAAAATACGTAAGAAAATGTTATTCCGAAAATTTTCTACATGCCTAATAACAAAAATAATTTTCGTTGAAAATGATTGAAAAAAAATATAAATTAAATATAAATATAAATATAAAAAAATATAAAAAAATATAAAATAATAATAATAATATAATAATAAAATATAAAAATATAAATATAAATATAAATTAAATATAAAGATCATGAGTGGTAGATTTGCGGGGATCTGAAAATAATAACTATGTTACTCGGACAATAAAGTGGATTCACCAAATTTCAATGTTATAAGTGCGAATGGAACCGCAGAGATGGAGCAAATCATTACACACGCAAGATATGGCCCAAAAGAACTGTGTGTGTTGGAACCCGGGAAAAAGAATATTGTACATAAAGTTTTAGTTAATAGAAAAAAAATGTTAATTCCACCATCGCACGTCAAACTCGGGTTATTGAAGCAATATGTAAAAGCCTTGGATAAAGATGGTAAATGTTTGTCTAGAATTCCTGGGAAACAAGAAAAGCGACAGATATAGATAAATTGTGGCAAAAATGGTGGACAATTACAAACGATTAGGTTGATTAATGAGTTATAAGGTCCACTTTTTAGATTCCCATATTTATGAGTTTCCCAAAAATCTTGGTGATTTTAGCGAGGAACAAGGGGAGAGATTTCACCAAGATATAAAGGTCATGGAAAATTGCTACCAAGGAAAATGGAAGAAAAACATGTTAGCCGACTACTGTTGGACGCTAATAAAAGACATACCAGAGGCCGAAAATACAAAGAGGAAAAAAGAGCTCCTCTCCGGAGATCATCTGAATCAAAGAGGATAAGATTTTCAAGAAACAAAGATTAAAACTGCTTTAAATTTGACATTTTGAATTTTTAAAAACCGACATTATATTCGTTTTCAGCGACCCCGAAAACCCCAGAGTAAAGATTTTCGAGTGAATCTGATTAATTTCTAACTTTTTGACACCATATTGGGTTTGACATTTTTAATTTTTAACAACTGACTTCAAATTCGTAATTAACGACCCAGAAATCCCCCGAGCATCGATTTTCAAGGAAATCCGAAGAATTTTTTTTAAAAACTCGCCATTTTGTAACCGCCATTGTTAATTTTTTTTATGTATTCAATTTTTATGTAATTACAGTCACGGAATTCAAATCAATACCGTAAACTGGGGCTATTAGGAACAAAATTCTGTTTTCTGTTGCTGCGGTAACTGACAACACATTCCAATGCAATAATTGTGATTTTTAATTATTTTGTGAACAATAGTAGCTTGTAAGTGACCTAATGTGTTTTAGTGAAGTTTCAAACGTGAAAAACATTTGATTGCTGAGGTAAGTTGTTTCATTTTTAACTTCTCAAACTGATTGTTTCTTATTAATGGGATTTCTTATGGGAAACTTTATTGAGTTCACTAAGTAATAAATACGTTTATTTTGTATTTACAGTAAGATTTTAGAAACAAAATCCAAAATTCACAAACGGCGTGTATATAAGGAACACAATTATTTCTTCCAAATTGTTAAAGTGTGTTGTCAAAAAGTTTTTCGTAATTTCTTTTGTTTTTTATCACCTAGTTTGGTTTTTAGTGTTCAAAGATGGTTCGAAATTGTAAAAGAGTGTTGGCACCGACAAGTCGCAAAAAACGACCAGTGATTCCATCATCGACCTCTACTATGATACCAGCAACGTTTAAAACACACATTCGCTCTTTTAGTTTTGTTTTTACATTTGTTTTATATTCTGTGTTTAGTTTCGAGCAATAAAAAATAACTTCTTTAACTTAACATACGTTTTCCAACAGTTTTTACCGACTTGTTTCTAATAGCCCCATTTTGTAATTTCGAAAAATTGCGTGTTTTTAGAATTTTTTGCTTAAAACTCCAGCTTTGATCAAGGCAATTATTTAACCCTTCAATGTGCTCGCCAAGATCAAGAAAAGAAACAAAAAATTAAGGCAATATTTCAATACACAAAAAAGTTGCAAGACTTTAGAGTTGAAATCTGTTCCTTGATAGCCCCAGTTTACGGTAGTGAAAATATGCGAAAAGTCTGTTTAAGATATACAAATTAAATAAATTCCCATGCAAATAAATTTCTCAGACTTCACCACCTTACAAGGCGTGTAAAAAAATACTAGCATCAAACTTTTTTCTCTTTACATACACCCTGAGGAAGAGAATCCACCATATGTCACTCTTCGCACTCAAAATTTTTTTTGTGTGCCTGTGTTATCCAAGTGATATTAGGGTTTCTTCAAATCGATTTAATAAAAACAAAAAAATAATTATTTTGAAAAACCGAAAACTGAAAAAACCAATGTTATTGACAAAGAAAATTTAGACATTTATGGGAGAGAGGTAATCAAAATAGAAATAAATTTTTCATATTTTTAGGTCATATTTCACCAACTGTGATTTAAAGTTAATCAGTAGAATTAAAGTCAATTTAAACGCTCACTTTATGTCAGTTAATGAATGATTTAATAATTCATTAACTTTTAATCAGAGTTAGATGAAACTGGCCCTAAGTCAAAGATTTAATACAAAGGGGGGTTCAATATTTATCTTAAATTTGGTTAATAGGAACCACTTTACTAAGTAAATTATTTAAAAGTAATAATTACCTAGACATAATCTTTGGCCTCACTACACAACCGTATTGATCAACGAGTTGAATGGGTGCTCTCTTTCCATCATGAGCAACACAATTTCTTACTAGCATGTCAAATTTGTTTTCATCATCTTTAATTGCTAGTACCATTGTCATTGTCTGTCCAATTTTTACTATCCCTGACACTTCTGATGCCCAAGGTCCTTTACCAACCTGGATCTGCATCCAGCATTGCAAATTGTCACCTAAGAAATTTGCTGTAACTGCATGTAACATATCGACCTGGAAAGGCCTAAATGTCACCGCCTTTTCATAAAAATCATACCAAGTACAGCGCAATTTTCTGGCTTGATCCCAAACCTCTTGAACATATGGATCATATTGTACAATTATAGTGTTTTCCACATAACTTCCAGATGGAGTTGGTGCACCATATGCAGCAAGATTGTGATTACCTGAAGAACTCATTCCACAAGAGTTAAGAAAGATTTCAAAAGTTGCACTCAAGTGTCCTGTTCCAGGTTTTAAATGAACGCAATGGTTATCTGAGTAATGACCTTTGCTAAAGATCATACCATAGAAAGGTCGATCAAACTCAATGTTCACTCGCATATGAGTTTTTTCACACTGTACTTGCAAGTGTTTAATTTGTGGTGTATCAGGTGATGCTAATGGCCAATTTTCTTCTGCTCCATGTGATATTGAATTTCCAAAGTTTGATGGTGATCCATATACTGATCTGTGTTCCAAAGGAAGGGCACTGCTATCCACCAACGTAGCTTCTCCTTTTACATTCTGCAAAGTTAAGTTTTAAGTTTTCAATAGTTTGTACATCAGAAAGAGGGAAAAGTTTTGAACATTTTTAGTACACCGTTATTTATGTTGTTTTTAAAAACTTCTTAAAATAATTTGTCTGAATCTTAAATTTATCATATACAGAATTGCAGTCACATGTGTTTATTTATTACATGTATTTAGGCTTTCAGGTGGTCTAAAAGTTAAATAATTATAAGGGAAGTGTGCCGGTTGTGGGCACCCTTTTGTTTTTGCCTCATAACATTTGTCCATGTGCATATTATACAAATATATATAATGACTTTTATTTGAAATTTGTTATGTTAATGTTAGAAACTTAAGAAATATTAAAGAAAAACCAATTAAAAATGTCTGAGAGCAAAATGATTAATCTAATTGACACCAGAAACGGAGATCTATTTGTAGGTTGAGTCGAAAGTTACAATCAAACGACATTGATTAAAGATTGGATTCAGTGCAGTATTTGAAATTTTTGGCTACATGAAAACTGCACTGATTTCCATGATAAATGTTCAAAATGTAACCAGAATAAGAGAAAAGTAATTTAAACAATTAAAAAGTAAAAAAGTAAAAAATTATAAGCTTCAGTTAAAATAAAGTGGAGTAGGGTGTCTATTCCTATGTTTTTTGGGTCGCTAAAACCGAAAAAGACTACCAAAAAGAAATTCTTCCCTCCCTTAACCCCCTACAACCCTCTTAACACCCGCAGCACAGTGTGTTATTTTTGCATTTTCGCGTTCAAAACCTAATTTCTCTTGAAGGAATTGACCAAAATGAATGAACCTTGGACCAAAATAAAGCTAAATAAATGTAGAATAGAGGAAAATTATAGAGAATTCTTGATCTAATTTTTTGAGCTCCTGGGAGTTGAGTGAAGTTAGCATTTTTTATAAAACAAATTAGAGTATAAAAACCTGTAAATCAGGATAATACTTAATAAAACAACTTTTTTGTACTCATTTAGGATCACTGAATACAAAAATAAAGTTCAAATATGATTGTAAAATTTTAAAATTCAAAATGGCGTGCCCAAGATGGTGGACAAAATTGGTTAAAAGTGCTTCGATTTTAATAATACTTGGTACTATAATGTTTTCGAGGTTGCTGAATTCAAATATGATGGTGAAATTTTAAAATTCAAAATGGCGGACAAAAAATGTTTAAAAATGCTTAGATTTTGACATGATTTTGTACTATTTAAGATTCGATTTGTACCAAAATTTAATTTTTTGTGGCTATTGAAAATAGTGCAATTGGTGTTTTTTTATTAAAATCAATACTTTACACTGATTGTTTTAATATATTTTAATTCCTTGAAAGTATGTGCTTATTTGTAAATTTAATTGCAGTTGTTTAACATTTTTTCCGCTATTCTTTTTTTAAAAGTTAACTTTAGAATTTGACTGCGCTTGGCGTGTAAGAAAATAAAGTTGTTACTTTTAAAATGTGTCGAATTAAAAGATAAAAAAAATTTTGTCTGACATATTGGGTCCGCAATTTTGAATATTTGAATTTTACCTTAATATTTGGATTCAGCGACCTCAAAAACGTAAAAGTACCAAGTCTTATTGAAATCGAAGCATTTTAAAAAAAATTTGTTCGACATGTTGGGTCCGCCATTTTGAATTTTTACCATCATATTTGAATTCAGAGACTTTGAAAACATTAAAATACCACAATTTGGATAAATTAGAAGTTTTTTTTATAATTTTGAAAATTTCATCCGCCATTTTGAATTCGCCATTTTTAATTTCGAAACAGCAACTCTATTTTTGTATTCAGTGATCCTGAATGATTACAAAAAAGTTGTTTTTTTAAGTTTTGTCATGATTTACAGGTTTTTATACTCTAATTTGTCATTTTTTCATAAAAAATGCTAACTTCACTCAACTCCCAGGAGCTCAAAATATTAGATCAAGGATACTCTATAATTTTCCTCTATTCTACACTTATTTAGCTTTATTTTGGTCCAAGGTTTATTCATTTTGGTCAATTCCTTCAAGAGAAATTAGGTTTTGAACGCGAAAATGGAAAAATAACACACTGTGCGCAGGGTGGGAGATCGAAATTCGAATTTTCACGAAAAGTCGATTAGGGTGTCTAAACCTACGTTTTTTGGGTCGCTGAAACCAAAAAAGACTACCAAAATCAAATCCTTTCCACCCTCAACCCTCTACAACCCCCTGCAATAATTTTTTTCAAATAAAACGAACCGATTTTTGGGAAATTGAAAATTAAATATTAATTATCAAAAATTATTGCAGGGGGTTGTAGGGTGGCAAGGATTTGATTTTGGTAGTTTTTTTTTGGTTTCAGCGACTCAAAAAACGTAGGTTTAGACACCGTAATCGACTTTTCGTGAAAATTCGAATTTCAACCCCCCACCCTGCGTGTGTTTAGGGGGTTGTAGGGGGTTAAGGGAGGAAAGAATTTGTTTTTGGTTTTAGCGACCCAAAAAACATAGGAATAGACACCCTACTCCACTTTTTTTTAAACTGAAATTCCAACCCCCGGGAGCAGGTGTAAGGGGATGGTTGCGGGAACATGGCCGATGAAAAAAATTTGTCATGGTAATATTCAGTTTCAGCGACCCCAAAAACATGGGGATAGGGGGAGGAAGGGGGTCTGAGAATTGTGACTAAGTGTGACATGGGGAGGGGGGTGAACTCATGTGTTACGTCACAATCTTTTAAATTCAAAGATTATAAGAAATTGTATGTGACAATGTCACTTTTTCTAAATAAAACAAGTTAAAAATGCTTTAAACTATTTAATATCTATTATGTACCTGTTTAACATCTATATATTGGTATATTATTTATAATATGATAAATAATATATTCTCTTAATTTGAATCATTTAAAAATCATGGTTTTAACTGACCATCAGCAGTGACTGACTTTTTGCTTCTGAATCAGTTCAAAATATAACTGAAAAATTATCCACAAAACACCGAAACTTTTCCAAATATATGTATATTAAAGATTTGCTTGCATACTTCGAAAATTTACTTGCAAAGTTTAGTTAAAATTGTGTTAAGATTTAAATTTCTCACTCCAATAAATGTTTATCGTCAAATTTTCTTAAAAATATAGCTTGAAACTTTCCTGAACATTAAAATTACATTTTCGACTGTACTTACGTGAAAATTTTCCTGAAAATTTAAGTTAAATTTTCAGGAAAGTTTCGCGCTAAACATTTATTAAAGTGGGATCTTTAAATCTTTACACAATTTTCACTAAAATTTGCATTTAAATATTTTGAAACTTATTGCGAGTAAATCTTTAATAAATTGTTAGAAAAGTTTCGGTGCTGTGTAGGTAGTTAAACGTGACTAATTGAATTAATAAAAAAAATTGTATTGAAACATCAGTTATTTTTATCTGTCAGAAAAAATATTACTATTTGAATTAGTGTCTGATTTTTTGCTTCTAAATCAGTTATTTTTAACTGATTCAATAATTTAGAGTGTAGGATATAATATATAATGTCCAATGTATAAAATTTACAGTGAAATTTACGTGTGTGACGTGACGTAGGGGAGGGGGGTTCAAGATTTGTGACGAAGTGTGACATATGGGGAGGGAGGAGTTAAAAATTGTCAAAAATCGCGTGACGTATTATGTGTACGGTCCCTTACCTTAAATATTATTAGCTTTTTCATTGTAATAAAGGAGAATAAAACGAAAACATTGGGACAAATAGTTTTTAAAAATTAGTTTACTCCAACGTTTCGAAATCTATCTGATTTCCTCTTCAGGGAGTCTATAAAAATTTAAATAATATCCAAAAAATATAAAATAATATAAAAAGAAATATAAATCATAGACAACAAAATATAAAAATAATATAGGTACAAATAATATACTAAAAAATATAAATTAATATACAAAAAAATAAAACAAAATTGTAAAACTTTTTCAATAAACACTTTTTCATTGTGTTTTAGCAGTAAAATATTTATTAATTTTTAACAATTTTACATTTTTTTTCTTGATAATATATTTTTGGAACAGTGGTTTGACAAATTTCGGCATAAAAGTTCGTAATTTGCTAATTTAAAATATAAATATTGCATCTAAAAGGTGGTACACTGGGGACCACTGTGCTTTAAAGGGTTAAACAAATAAAAGCAATATAAAATACCATTTTCTCCTTAAACATGATTATTTTAATGTTTTAAAATATTTAACTTACAAGGCACTTATTACCTTCACCAACTTTTTCTTTTTTTTTTGTTATTCCAATGAAAATGTTTTGCAAGGAACTTAGATTACCTAGGCCAATGGGAAAAGTACAATTTATTGGCTAAGTACACGGAAAATAAAAGTTCACTATTTTATACTAAACTATTTCTGGATTCTTGAATATATGCGGGAGTTTATTATTGACTCGAATATCATCATATTATAAATTACTAAATTTCTTTATAGGATTTACTTTATAATTTATCAAAAAAACTGTAAGAAAATTTGTATTGCTTTTTTAAGAAAAAATATGCGGTTAATGTTTAATTTTCGATGACAATTAGTTACAGTATATGGAACAGTTTTTATATAAGGGAGAAATATTAGAAAAAAAATTGTTTTTTAATCATAATTTTCATAAACAACTTCTAAATATTTGTTTCTTAATCATAGTTATTTCTAAAAAATATCCACTTTTAAAATATAGAAAAAAACGCCAATAACTTTAAATTAAATTTTTTCTTCATAAATGTTTTTTAATGAGGCAAATTTTTGGTTAATACATCATTTTTAATTATATTAATGTGAAAAATTAAATTCAATTAAAAGAAAATTTTTCTTAAATAATTACGTCATTATAATACTTTTGAATAAATTAATTGAATATTTGTTTCTAGAACACAAATTTTGATAAAATACCAAGGTTTTTCAGATAAAAAAGAATTTTTTCTAAATGTTTAATTTTCAGTGCCATATTTACTCTATTTACTTCACTAAAGACAATAATTCAAA